GAATCGGTAATTGTAGAAGGGATTTGGTAACGTTCCTTCTGTTTCTGTTGTGTGGAACAATTTAAAGAGTATTGGTATTATCTCTTCTTTGAAGATCTGGTAGAATTCTGCATTGAAACCATCTGGTCCTGGGCTTTTTTTGGTTGGGAGACTTAATGACTGTTTCTATTTTCTTAGGAGTTATTGATCTATTTAAATAGTTTATCTGGTCTTGATTTAACTTAGGTGAGTGATACCTATCCATAAAACTATCCATTTCTTTTAAATTTTCCAGTTTTGTGGAGTACAGGTTTAAAATAAATAAATAAATAAATTATTTTTCTTGATTTAACTTTGGTAAGTAGTACCTACTGAGAAAATTACCCATTTCTTTTAGATTTTCCAAGTTGGTGGAGTACACGTTTTTAAAGTATGTCCTTATAGTTCTCTGGATTTCCTTGGTTTCTCTTGTTATGGTCCCCTTTGGGTTCTGATTTTATTAATTTGGATATTCTCTTGACATCTTTTTGTTAATTTGAATAAAGTTTTGTCTATCTTGTTGATTTTTTCAAAGAACAAACTCTTGGTTTCATTGATTCTTTGTATTGTTGTTTGTTTCTATTATATTGATTTCAGCCCTCAATTTGATTATTTCTTGCCATCTATTCCTTTTGGGTATGCTTACTTTTTATTTCTATATTGACTCATTATTCATTCTGTAGAGAGTTGTTCAGTTTCCATGACTTTGTAAGCTTCCTGTTGTTTCTGTTGTTGTTGATATTCAGCTTTAATCCATGGTGGTCTGATAGGGAGCAGGGAGTTACTTCAGTTTTCTTGTATCTATTGAGACTTCCTTTGTGTCAGATTATGTGTCCAATTTGGAGAAAGTTCTGTGATGTTCTGAGAAGAAGGAATATTCTTTGTGTTTGAGTGGAATGTTTTGTAAGTATCTGTTAGGTTCATTTGGTTTATAACATCAATTAGCTCCAGCATTTCTCTGTTTAGTTCCTGTCTAGTTGACCTATCCTTGGTGAGAGTGGGGTACTAAAGTCTCCCAGTGAAAGTATGTGATATAAGCTGTAGTAGTGTTCTTTGTTTGTTTGTATCTTTACAAAAGTGGGTGCCCTTTGGGACATAGATGTTAAGATTTGAAATGTCACCATTGACATTGAGAGTTATCAATGAGAGGTTTTTGTTGGTTCCTGTTACTTTGTTATGGTGTGTGTGTGTGTGTGTGTGTGTGTGTGTGTGTGTGTGTGTGTTTCATGTTGTTAACCTCTTTAGGTTGAGGTTTTTTCTCCTAGTGCCTATGTTGGGCTGGATTCATAGATAGATATTGCTTAAATTTTGTTTTATCATAGAATGTTTCATTTTCTCCATCTATTGTGACTGAAAATTTTGCTAGATTTAGTAGTCTTGACTGGCATCTGTGACTTCTTAGAGCTTGTAGAACATCTGTCCAGGTTCTTCTGACTTTTAGAATCTCCATTGAGAAGTCAGGTTCTATTCTAATAGGAAGGCCTTTATGTGTTACTTGGTCTTTTTCCCTCATAACTTTTAATATTTTTTGTTCTATATGTTTAATATTTGATTATTATGTGATGAGAGGAATTTCTTTTCTAGTCAAGTCTATTTAGTCTTCTGTATGCTCCTTATACCTTGATAGGCATCTCCTTCTTTGGATTAGAAAATTTTTCTTCTATGATTTTGTTGAAAATATTTTCTGTGCCTGTGACCTCAGTCGTCTACTTCCTCTATTTCTATTATTTGTATATTTTTGTCTTTTTATATAGTGTCCCATATTTCCTGGAGGTTTTGTCAAGGAATCTTTCTTAGATTTAGCATTTTCTTTGACAGAGTGAAGAAATATGACATTCCATGATAAAGTAAAATTTAAACAATATCTATCTACAAATTCAACCCTATATTTCCTGTGTTTTCATGTGTGTTAACTACACACAAGAAAATGCAGAAAATAAATACTCTCATACCGGCAAAGTCAAAATAAGGGAAGCATGCACCCTACCACCACCACCATCACCTCCACCACAACCACCACCAACAACAACAAAATAACTGAAATTAACAAACACTGGTCATTGAAATCTCTCAATATAAATGGTCTCAATTCCATAATAAAAAGACACAGACTAACTGGATGAATGTGAAAACAAGATCCATCCCTCCCTCTGCTGCATACAAGAAACATACCTCAACATCAAGGATAGACAGATGACCGCCCCCGTTTCTGGCTCATCCTTGTGTCTCAGTCCCCAATTCAGGAAGACACCCCGATCAACCACAGATTATGGCTGCCAGATGACCAGGTAGGCTTCCCGTAGTCCTTCTCCACTCTCTTTCTCTCAGACCCAATTCTCAGGGTCATCCCTAGCGCTGCAACAGGTCAGTCCATGTCCCCCGGCCTTCCTTTCCCCCAGCCTCCAACACAAGCAAGCATTCTCTGTGAACACACCAGCCAAGCAGGCCAATAAAAGGGCAATACACAGCCAACACACTTCCTGAAAATCTAGAGGAAACAGAAAACAAGGAACAAATATCCTCCCACAAAGACAAATCCAGAAATCATAACCTAGACCTATAATTACCCCAAACCCAGATGCCTAGACACCAGTGTAAGAACACAATCAGTAATAGCCAGAGCAATAGGTCTCTACCACAGCCCAACTATCCTACCACAGCAGGCCCTGAGTATTCCAACAGAGCTAAAGTACAAGAAAAAGACCTTAAGACCAACTATATGATGATGATAGAGGTCCTTAAAGAGGAAATGAATAAATTAGTTAAAGAAATCCAGGAAAACACAAACAATTGGAGGAAATGAATAAATCCCTCAAAGAAAGTCAGGAAAACACAAACAAACAAATGAAGGAAATTAATAAATCCCTTAAAGAAAGTGGAGAAAAATACAGCTGAAGGAAACAAATAAAACTGTTCATAAAAGAAACACTACTAAGACTTAAATCACCTATTGGTCCTCACACACTGATGGAGGGAGACTTCAATACCCCACTCTCCACAAAGATAGTTCATCCAAACAAAAACTAAACAGAAGTGCTGAAGCTAACTGACATTATAAATGAAATATTCCTAACAGATATTTGTAGAACTTTTTACCCAAACACAAAAGAATATACCTTCACCTCAGAACATTAAAGAACTTTCTCCAAAATTAACCACATACTTAGAAACAAAGCAAATCTTAATAGATATAAGAAAATTAAAATAACTCTCTGAATCCAATTTGACCACCACACATTAAAGCTGTATTTAATAACAACGAAAGCAAGAGAAATCTTACAAACTCATGGAAACAGAACAATTCACTACCAAATGAAAAGCAAATCAAAATAGAAATTTGGAAAGAAATTAAAAACTTTTAGCTGAGCAGTGGTGGTGCTCACCTTTAATCTCAGCACTCAAGAGGCAGAGGCAGGTGGATTTCTGTGAGTTTGAGGCCAGCTTGGTCAACAGAATGAGTTCCAGGACAGCCAGGACTGTTTCGAAGAGAAATCCTGTCTCAAAACAAGCAAACAAAAAATCTTTCTGGAATTGAATTAAAATAAATAGACAACATACCCAAACTTATGGGACACAATGATGGTGATTCTAAAAGCACTGTGCCTACATTTAATTAATTAATTAATTAATGATATTTCATACTACTAACTTAACAACACACCTGTAGGCTCTAGAACAAAAAGAAGAAATTACACCCAAAAAGGATAGATCACAAGAAATAATCAAACTCAAGGCTGCAATCAGTAAAATAGAAAAAAGAAACATTACAAAGAATCAATGAAGCAAAGAATTGGTTCTTTGAGAAAATCAGTGACTGACAAACCCTTATTCAAATTATCTAAATGACTGAGGATCAAGGGGGGTGTAATAATGCAGGAGTGAGGGAGAGAATACTGGGAAAGGCAGCTAAAAATAAGCACCTTTTGAAGGGTGGTGTAGAAACCTAATACAGTAGACACTTTCCAAAATATACATATATATGAAGGTGATTTAAAAGAATTCACCAAATAATTAGGGAAACAGAGCCCCAGCTGGCCATCTCTTGTCACCAAATGAAGATTCTAGGACCAGGATCAGGTTACATCTAATTGAGTTGTTTGGGAACCCCCAAACAGCCCAAGCTGTTGCCAAGACTATAGATTTTTCTCTACAAACTGACAGCAAGGCCCAATTGCTGAAGACAACACCTACACAACTCATTGAACATGGAGAAGTCAAGCTGGTGCCTACATTGAGTCCTCACCCCTACCTGTTAGTATCTTTGGTGCAGGAGGGCACTCTACACACTACCAAAAGAGAAACATTAACACCAAGCCAGTCACAAACCCTTTATATTACAATGGTGCCGCCTGCAAGATATGTTAGTGCAAGGGTGGTACAAAGCTTGTGGGGGTAACCAACTGATGTCTGATTAGATTTAAGGCCCACTCCACAAGATGAAACCCATACTCTACACTTCTTGAGTGACCGAGGACCTGAGACTAGATAACCAGGAACCTAGGGTAAAACCAAATACTACTGTACCTAGAGACCAAGTATAGAACCAAACAAGATCAGAAAAAAATAGTCCATGAAATGATTGCTGATGATACTCTGCTATACCCATAGACTGGAACCTAGTATAATCATCATCAGAGAGACTTCATCCAGCAACTGATAGGAACAGATGCAGAGACCCACAGGCAAAAATATTAGGCAGAGCTTGTGAAATCCTGCAGAAGAGGGTGAGGAAGGATTGTGGGAGCCAGGGGGATCAAGACACCAGAAGAAAATGGCCCACAGAATCAACTAATCAGGGTCCAAAGGGGCTCAAAGAGACTCAACCTACAATCAGGGAGCCTATTTGGGTCTAACCTACATCCTCTATATATTATGTTATGGTTATGTAGCTTGGTGTTCCTGTAGGACTCATTACAGTAGGAGCTGTAGCTTTGGGGACAACAATTTAGGATCATAGCACATAGCAGAGGAAAAGCACCTACTGCTTGGTGAGCAGTCCACGGTGAGTGAGAAGGACCTGTGGTTTCTCCTTCCTCTTCAAGGGATCATCCACCAGTTATGGCACTGGGACTCATTTCTTAAGGTTTCCATCACCCTCCTTTCGCACCCTGGTCTCAAGCCTTTAACATTGCCCTTTGAACGACAAAAATACAAAATATAGTGTCAGTCAACAGCCGGAAGACGATCAATACCTTGAAGCAGGATGGGACCTTCCTCATTTCCTTACTTTGAGTAAGCAGAAAGAAATCAAAATGTGGGTAACTCAAGAGCTGAACTGACTGGAGAGATTCAAATTGATCCTCTTCTGAGAACAATGCTGGATAACCACGGAATGCAAAGAATTATAAAATATTCCCTAATTTCAATTAGTATGGGATTGTGTGTGAACAGTTCTGGAAACAATAAAGCAAATAGCACTAAGGCAATGGGGTACAAACCAAAAACTATTTCATCTTTATTTTCTTCTTGTGTCAATATTTTCTTTAAAAATGATGATATAGACAGAGATGACCCAGATGAACCTAGCACACATTATGTGAACTTTGACTCTGCTTCTATTCTTATCAATGTGATGGTTACCAAATTTCTCACTTCATAGAAAACAAAAATTCAGTTACAGAGATATTTGGCCATTTGTCACTGTCCTCAGTAGTTACTATTATTTTAAAGACTCCTAAGGCGTTTCTTTTACTTTCTCCAACTTGAGACAAAATCCCATCATCTCGTCTTATCTACTGTCCCATAAATACTACCTTATTTCCATTTCTACTTGAATCATAATAGTCAAAAATCACCCTGACTGGCCAATTACATGAGAAGTCTAAATAGCTTTTCACTACAATATGTTCAAAACATGGCGGCATATTAAACCTCACAAAATGCATGAGCCCATAAAGAGGAATGCCTTAGTTACAGCGTAAATTCTTCCTCTAAAGATAATCAGCGTTGGTTTTTTTTTTAAGAATCATTAATCTGATGAAAATGTATATTTTAATACAGTTATATTACTAGGCAAGAACAAAATAAAGTAATTATGGAAGATGAACTTTTGTTGGAAACAACATGAACCAGAGATTAGTTAAATGCAATAGTGCAACTCTGAGAATTACAAATAAAATGATAATGATAAAGGATAATAAAGGAATACAGTTGATATCACCAGTCTTCCAAGATTTAAAAAAAAAAAATGGCCTATGGGGAGAAAAACTGTGAGCTTCACTGATTTCATTTTGAAGTCATATTTTACATTTTTCCCTAATATTGTTGAAGTTTAAAAATAGAATAAAAAAGAGGAGAATGTGGTGTATCCAAAAATATTCAAAATAGATTAAAGTATAATATACTGGGGGTGGGGTCATAGGAATTGACATAAAATAATCCCAACAACCTGTATCAACATGAAAGCAATGGGAAAGTTTATTCAAATTTTCCATTTCTCAGTTTCTTTACAAAACTCAGTGTAGTTACTCCTGACTCTCTAGTAACTAGCAAGTCATGAAATAGCATAAATCTTTTGTAATTCTCTTTAAGCCGTCCTGAAGATAATTCTGTCCAATCATACTGGTTCTTTCACACCAGACTTGTTCGTATATTTATTACAGCTATTTTAAGGTCTTTGTGGAATGATTGCAATATGTGGGCCATCTGTAAGCTAGTTTCTATTCACTTTTTTCATATTCTTTTTTTTATTCTCTTGATTATGCTTCATATTTCCCTGCTTCTTTGGGTATCACATAATGCTTGATTGTATGCCAGATATTATACATGAAGGAAGAAAAGGAGAGTGGAGAAAGTAAACATTCCTTACTCCCAGAAAACGATCCACCATATTTTCATTAGGTGTCTAAGTTGGGATGGCAGGGGTAGAAAAATAGAGTCAAAACAATCCATAATTAAGATGGTCTGGCTTCACCATATGCAGAATTAATTCCAACTGACCACTGTTTTTTCTCTTTTATGCAAAGCTTAGCAACTGAGCACTAGTGAGATGTCCATATGTCACTCTGTGCAGAATAAAGTCCTTCCCACCCTTAGACCTATCTAATTAATAGCTTTACTCAAGTCTCTCCTGAATGCAGAGCAACTGCTGTCCACAGGCTCCTGGTTTTGCCCCCACAACATTGATGATCAGAGCCACAAAGTCAGAGAACACTACCATTACTAGGTCAGCACTCACCATCATCATCGTTAAAAAGCACATACAGCTGGCCTTTCCAAAATGATACAAGTGCCTTGAACTCAGAGACCATCTTACCTCATCGTCATCGTCACCCCTCTCAGGACATCTAGTCGAATGCCCTGCACAAAGTAGACAACCTCAGAACATCAGGGAATTTCAGAGCTACTTTACCAAACCCTAGAGTTCCTTGTTGTCATGGAAGACAGCCAGTGCTACTTCTTGTGGATCAGGATTTCTATTGTGTCTCGTTTCTTAAGAAAAATAAACTGTATTTCTTTACTCACTGTGCTTTCTCACAGCCCTTCTGGCCTCCAGATGTAAGAAAAAGAGATTGAGCTCTCCACAATAGTTCAAACTCTATCAAACACCAATTGTATCAACATGAGAGCAGTGTAAAAGTTTGTTCAAATTTCATGTCCTAAGATAGTTCAATTCAATTCAGATACTGTCTTCTTGGAGTAAGCATCAGACCCCATAGGTTAAGGTTCACTTCTACAAGACAGAGGCCACTTCAGATGTCAAGTGCATGTACAGATTGGGTCCTGTGCTTCTATCTGACCAGCTGTAAATATCACCATTTCCTCTCTGGGTTTGGTCTTTCCTTGAAACGTTCACAGAACTCAAGAAAACAGTTTGCCTACTACTCCACTGGCTCATCAGTAAAGGACCTAACTTGGGGACAGACTGATGGAAGAGACTAAATAGAATGAGTGCTCAGAAAGTCTTTCAGCTCAGAAAACACTGTCTTCTCGCTTGATCCCAAAGGATATAGCTAAAAGCTTGGTATCCCAGCTCTTCATTCTGTTTGTCTCTTGCCTAACTGTGCAAGACTACCCATGTAAAGCTTGCTGAAACCTAACCTTGAGGTAGAAGGCATACAGGTGAGTTTTCAAGGTATCTTACTTTCAGATTTTACAGTGTCCTATACCATATCCTATGAAATATGCTTGAAGTTTTCTAGTCATTATTCCAAACTTGCACCAACCTTGGAGTCTGGAAATAGCAGAGGTTTACCAACATTACATCCCAGCCAAAACAAGGAAAAGAATTCTCCCATGGGAACCAGCTTGTCCCAAGCAATAAGGACTTCTTCAAATCACCTTGAAGAATAGGAAATGGGATAGTAATCAGCCATACTTCATTTTGAGCAAGGCTGTTCAATTTAGCATACGCCTTGTGTCCTATTCAAACCCATCCTCTATTTAAATGCAAAGTTCATGTCAGTTCCCTGAAGATGAACTTGGGGTCACTGAATCAATTCCTTTATCTATAATTCTCAAAACCATCCCATTGATTGAATTTCTCTCTGATTTTCACCATTATTCATCTCTTTAATGGGTATGTAAGGAACAGGTGGCCCAGCCTAGTGTGTTGGGACTCCAGAACCAACAGCTATAGATGATTTACAAAACCATTTCATTAAAATAAATGCAGGGATAACTTAGGGTCATGTTAACAAATAGAAAGGTATTTTTTTCACCTTTATGGCTCTGGAATTTTCACAGGGATAGAAGGAAAGTTAAAATATAAGATGTTCCCATCACTCTTGCCATTTATAAAATCACAGCCATTTTAGCTCTACACTAAAAAATGGGAATGAAGATTGAATATACACCCCTTATTATAAGTACAATGATGCACTCCCTATTATATTAACACACCATAATGATGATGTTCAGGAGGTTGGAGCAGTCCTGTCTCTGGCAGACAGTTCTCATTATTCATGTTCTCTCTGGGTAGGATCAAGTGGGTGCATCTTATTAGCCTGCATAGTGCTATATAGGGTGTATAGGTACTCTATCTCTCTATGAAGATTCTGTAATTATAGTTTATTGGTGTGGAATAGAATATTTGTTTAACTATGTAAAGATGTGTTGCTGTTTCACCTTGCCTTCCTAAGGCGCCTGAATGGTCTAATAAAAAGCTGAACAGCCAATAGCTAGGCAGAGAAGGGATAGATGGGGCTGGCGGGCAGAGGGAAATGGGAAGCAAGCCTGGTGGCTATGTACTCTAGAGCATCCCCAAAGCAGGATGGACAGTACGTAGATGAGGTAAACGAGCCTCAGGGCAGCACATAGATAAATAGAAATGGGTTGATTTAAGTTTTTTTTTTTTTTTTTAAGAGCTAGGTAGAAACAAGCCTAAGCTAAAGCCAAGCATTCATAATTAGTAATAAGTCTCTGTATCATGTTTTGGGGCCTGGCAGTCTAATGACAAACAGGCAAATTAATTCAAGGAAAACAATACAAACTGGTTACATGAATGTACAGAAGAGTCACACGATGTATGTGACCAAAAAGGGCAAGAAAGGGGCCAAGTTCTGAAAGCATGCATAGCGTTTTGAGCAACAGAAAGCAAGAGGGGCTTTTATGGGAGGTTATTTTACTATACAGGTAAGATGGTACTGAGTTTTAGTCTACCCTCCTGGGACTTAACTCTATGTTTGGTGAGTTTCTGGGAGGGGCGCGGTCATGAAAATCACCTTTCTTTAGCCAGATAAGAGAATTTCAGAGAACATTTCCTTCCTGAATGGAGGGGTCAGAGATGGGGGGGTGGTAAGGGTATGAGGGACCTTAGTTATCCTTCAACATCTCTCTCAGGTAGAATACAGACTATCTTGATGAGCTTATATATCATCTGTTTTAGAAATAATTTGAATAACACAAAGACAGACCATGTAAATCTCAAGAGGACAGGTCAAAGATGCAAATTCATAAAGACACACCAGATGGCTCTCACCTTCAGAGGAAAACAAGAAAGAGAATAGAGGTGCAAGCCATTTATAAATCCCCAGGTAACCACCCCAATATTTTGAAAGATCTCACAATCCATAAACATTAAACTCAGAAATATACAATCAATGTTTTTGGTTTAGACTAATGAGAAGCCCATAAAAGCAAGTGGCTTTCTTTGTTTCCAACAGACTCTGTGTAAGGAGATTGACTCAACTTCA